TCCACCTGCCCACGCTGCACCTGTCCACCTGTCAATCTGCCCACGCTGCACCTGTCCACCTGTCAATCTGCCCACGCTGCACCTGTCCACCTGTCAATCTGCCCACGCTGCACCTGTCCATCCTGACATGTTCGATCTGTCGTCTTCGATCTCGTCCCGTCTTTTTCTTTCCTCATGTTTTTCTCGTCGTCTGAATCAAACGTTTATTCGTTTATTTACAGAAGAACATTTCCGTCGCTCACTCTGACCTTTGACCCTTTGAGGACTCTGACCTTTGACCCTTTGAGGACTCTGACCTTTGACCCTTTGAGGACTTCAGACGCCAGCGGAAACTTTTCATTTAGTTCCAGACTCTAAATGGACGAGTCGTCGTTGTTCTGCTCAGACACAAACCCATTAAAGGCTCCGGGTCCCGGGAGACTCCAGCTCCCACGATGCCGCGCTCCTCCTGTTCCCAGAATCCTCGGGGCAGCGGTGCATTAGTGCAGACGAGCCGTCACAGGCGTCGGCTTAAACGCTCCGAGAAAAAACCTGAGCGGACGAAACAAACCCACGAGTTTTTCCTGCGCCGCACGACACAAACTGAGTCTGGGTCTGAGTCTGGGTCTGGGTCTGGGTCTGGGTCTGAGTCTGGGTCTGGGTCTGAGTCTGGGTCTGGGTCTGGGTCTGAGTTTGAGTCTGGGTCTGAGTCTGGGTCTGGGTCTGAGTCTGAGTCTGGGTCTGAGTCTGGGTCTGGGTCTGGGTCTGAGTTTGAGTCTGGGTCTGGTCTGAGTCTGAGTCTGGGTCTGGGTCTGAGTCTGGGTCTGGGTCTGAGTCTGGTCTGAGTCTGGGTCTGGGTCTGAGTCTGGGTCTGGGTCTGGGTCTGAGTCTGAGTCTGGGTCTGAGTCTGGGTCTGGGTCTGAGTCTGAGTCTGGGTCTGAGTCTGAGTCTGGGTCTGGTCTGAGTCTGGTCTGGGTCTGGTCTGGGTCTGGGTCTGGGTCTGGGTCTGAGTGAGTCTGGGTCTGAGTCTGGGTCTGGGTCTGAGTTTGAGTCTGGGTCTGAGTCTGGGTCTGGGTCTGGGTCTGAGTCTGGTCTGGGTCTGGTCTGAGTCTGGGTCTGGGTCTGAGTCTGGGTCTGAGTCTGAGTCTGAGTCTGGGTCTGGGTCTGAGTCTGGGTCTGGGTCTGGGTCTGAGTCTGGTCTGGTCTGGGTCTGGTCTGAGTCTGGGTCTGAGTCTGGTCTGGGTCTGAGTCTGAGTCTGGTCTGGGGTCTGGGTCTGGGTCTGAGTTTGGTCTGGGTCTGGGTCTGGGTCTGGGTCTGGGTCTGAGTCTGGGTCTGAGTCTGGTCTGGGTCTGGGTCTGGGTCTGGGTCTGGGTCTGAGTCTGGGTCTGGGTCTGGGTCTGGGTCTGGGTCTGAGTCTGAGTCTGAGTCTGGTCTGAGTCTGGTCTGGGTCTGGGTCTGGTCTGAGTCTGAGTCTGAGTCTGGGTCTGGGTCTGGGTCTGAGTCTGGGTCTGGGTCTGGGTCTGGGTCTGAGTCTGAGTCTGGTCTGGATCTGGGTCTGGGTCTGAGTCTGGGTCTGGGTCTGGAGTCTGAGTCTGAGTCTGAGTCTGGTGTCTGGGTCTGGGTCTGGGTCTGGGTCTGGGTCTGAGTCTGGGTCGAGGATTTAAGGTTCTGAATCTAAAATTCTTTGGAGTTTATATGGAAATAATAATTCTGAATTGACGTTTACCTGGAAAACTGACAGATTCAAGTGATTTTTATTCAGAGTTAAAGCTCTAATGTGAACGTGGCAGTTCTGAATCTGTGTCAGTCAGTGGTTTTTCAAAATAAAACCAAAAATAAGAAATTTTTCAGTTTTTGATTTTATGTTTAAATGAAAAATGGAAAAAACTGATAACGGACTGAACCAGGACTAAACCAGGACTAATCCAGGTCTAAACCAGGTCTAAACCAGGTCTAAACCAGGACTAAACCAGGACTGAACCAGGACTAAACCAGGACTAAACCAGGACTGAACCAGGACTGAACCAGGACTGAACCAGGTCTAAACCAGGTCTAAACCAGGACTAAACCAGGACTAAACCAGGACTGAACCAGGACTAAACCAGGACTAAACCAGGACTGAACCAGGACTGAACCAGGACTAAACCAGGACTGAACCAGGACTGAACCAGGACTGAACCAGGACTAAACCAGGACTGAACCAGGACTGAAACCAGGACTGAACTGAAACCAGGACTGAACCAGGACTAAACCAGGACTGAACCAGGACTAAACCAGGACTGAACCAGGACTGAACCAGGACTGAACCAGGACTGAACCAGGAGTGTTGGGACGGGTCCAGTGGTGTAGACTGTCGGGTGATCAGGACTGAGACTGGGTCCAGGACCAGGACCAGGACCAGGACCAGGACCAGTTGAGTCCTGGTTCCGTCCAGCGTCACACACAAACTGTTTTTTCATTTTGGTTTTGGAAACAAAGAATAAAGAAAATAGTTTTTTTTTTTTTCATTTTCTTATGTTTTTTTTTTTGAAAAACTAATGAAACACACAGTCCCCATCACACTGTACACACATACACACTAGTGTGAACGACCCACTCACATACACACTAGTTTGAACCAACCACTCACATATACACTAGTGTGAACGAACACTCACATACACACATACATACACACCACTCACATACACACTAGTGTGAACCAACCACTCACATACACACTAGTGTGAACCAACCACACTCACATACACACTAGTGTGAACAACCACTGTGTGAACCACCACATACACACATCACACACTAGTGTGAACGAACCCACTCACATACACACTAGTGTGAACCAACCACACTCACATACACACTAGTGTGAACCAACCACTCACATACACACTAGTGTGAACCAACCACTCACATACACACTAGTGTGAACGACCCACTCACATACACACTAGTGTGAACCAACCACTCACATACACACTAGTGTGAACGGGGCTGCTGGACACATGTGTCTCTAAATCACAATCACAATACTGAAGAAAACTCAAAGACGACAAAAGCGAGGGATGAGTGGAGGGGAGGAGAGGAGGAGGAGGAGCGAGGGATGAGTGGAGGGGAGGAGAGGAGGAGGAGAGGAGCGAGGGATGAGTGGAGGGTGGAGAGGAGGAGGAGAGGAGCGAGGGATGAGTGGAGGGGTGGAGAGGAGGAGGAGAGGAGCGAGGGATGAGTGGAGGGTGGAGAGGAGGAGGAGAGGAGAGGAGAGTGGAGGGTGGAGAGGAGGAGAGAGGAGAGGAGTGAGTGCGAGGGATGAGTGGAGGGTGTAGAGGAGGAGGAGAGGAGCGAGGATGAGTGGAGGGTGTAGAGGAGGAGGAGAGAGCGAGGGATGAGTGGAGGGTGTAGAGGAGGAGGAGGAGCGAGGGATGAGTGGAGGGGGGAGAGGAGGAGGAGAGGAGCGAGGGATGAGTGGAGGTGGAGGAGGGAGGAGGAGAGGAGCGAGGGATGAGTGGAGGGTGGAGAGGAGGAGGAGAGGAGCGAGGGATGAGTGGAGGGTGGAGAGGAGGAGGAGAGGAGCGAGGGATGAGTGGAGGGTGTAATTGCTCGGGGCTTTGGTCCGTGTCTCAGACTCGTTTCACATTTTCATTTCAGTTTCTTTTCCCACACGAGTGAAACTCAATCAGCACCACACCTCCCCACTCATCCCTCGCTCCTCTCCTCCTTCTCTACACCCTCCACTCATCCCTCGCTCCTCTCCTCCTCCTCCTCTACACCTCTCCACTCATCCCTCGCTCCTCTCTCTCTCTCCACTCATCCCTCGCTCCTCTCTCTCTCTCCCACTCATCCCTCGCTCCTCTCTCTCTCTCCACTCATCCCTCGCTCTCTCTCTCTCTCTCTCCACTCATCCCTCGCTCCTCTCTCTCTCTCCTCTCCCTCGCTCCTCTCTCTCTCCACTCATCCCTCGCTCCTCTCTCTCTCCACTCATCCCTCGCTCCTCTCTCTCTCACTCATCCCTCGCTCCTCTCTCTCTCTCCACTCATCCCTCGCTCCTCTCTCTCTCTCCACTCATCCCTCGCTCCTCTCTCTCTCTCCACTCATCCCTCGCTCCTCTCTCTCTCTCCGTCCGTGTGTCGTTCCTTCATTTGTTTTTCAAAATAAAACCAAAAATAATAAAACGAAAAAACAACCGTTTTCTTCATTATTTGTCTCCAAAACCAAAATGAAAAAACAGAAATCGTCCTGAACCAGAACTGAGACCAGGACTGAGACTGGTTTAGACCTGGTTTAGTCCTGGTCTAGTCCTGGTTTAGACCTGGTTTAGTCCTGGTTTAGTCCTGGTTTAGTCCTGGTTTAGTCCTGGTTTAGACCTGGTTTAGTCCTGGTTTAGTCCTGGTTTAGTCCTGGTTTAGACCTGGTTTAGACCTGGTTTAGTCCTGGTTTAGTCCTGGTTTAGTCCTGGTTTAGTCCTGGTTTAGACAGAAGAGTGAGGAGGAGGACCTGGTCTTGACTCCAGATGGTTCTTGGTGGTTCTTGATGGTTCTTGGTGGTTCTTGGTGGTTCTTGGTGGTTCTTGATGGTTCTTGATGGTTCTTGATGGTTCTGTGTTTGTTCAGAAGAGTGAGGAGGAGGACCTGGTCTTGACTCCAGATGGTTCTTGATGGTTCTTGGTGGTTCTTGATGGTTCTTGATGGTTCTTGATGGTTCTGTGTTTGTTCAGAAGAGTGAGGAGGAGGACCTGGTCTTGACTCCAGATGGTTCTTGGTGGTTCTTGATGGTTCTTGATGGTTCTTGGTGGTTCTTGATGGTGGTTCTTGATGGTTCTTGATGGTTCTTGGTGGTTCTTGGTGGTTCTTGGTGGTTCTTGGTGGTTCTTGATGGTTCTTGATGGTTCTGTGTTTGTTCAGAAGAGTGAGGAGGAGGACCTGGTCTTGACTCCAGATGGTTCTTGATGGTTCTTGATGGTTCTTGATGGTTCTTGATGGTTCTTGATGGTTCTTGGTGGTTCTTGGTGGTTCTTGATGGTTCTTGATGGTTCTTGATGGTTCTGTGTTTGTTCAGAAGAGTGAGGAGGAGGACCTGGTCTTGACTCCAGATGGTTCTTGATGGTTCTTGATGGTTCTTGGTGGTTCTTGGTGGTTCTTGATGGTTCTTGATGGTTCTTGGTGGTTCTTGGTGGTTCTTGATGGTTCTTGATGGTTCTGTGTTTGTTCAGAAGAGTGAGGAGGAGGACCTGGTCTTGACTCCAGATGGTTCCAGAGAGTTCCTGACCCTGGAGGTTCCTCTCAGTGACTCGGGTTCTGCAGGACTCGGCGTCAGTGTGAAAGGAAACAGATCCAAAGAAAATCACACGGACCTGGGGATCTTCATCAAGTCCATCATCAACGGAGGAGCCGCCTTCAAGGTACTGATACAAATACTACAAATACTACAAATACTACTGATACAAATACTACAAATACTACAAATACTACTGATACAAATACTACAAATACTACTGATACAAATACTACAAATACTACTGATACAAATACTACTGATAAAAATACTACTGATACAAATACAAATAGTACAAATACTACAAATACTACAACTACTACTACTACTACTGATACAAATACTACAAATACTACTACTACAACAACTACTACAACTACTACTACTACAGTTTAGATTAGGCTGAGTTCTTCTCTCTAACTGAAAACGCTCAGTTCCACCTGGTGATGTCATCGTGTGCTGATACAGGAAGTGCTCCACTGTGTTTTTAAACTCCACACTTCACCTTCACTAGAATCACCCGGAACATTTCAGACCATCTGAACTGAACTAAATAAAATAAATGAATAAAAATTTAAAAATCTCACAATTACTCATAAACATGATTAATTATGAAACTCGTTATTTTGACTTTTAACCTCGTCATTTTGAGTTTCCTTGAGGCTTTTATTTGAGACTTTTTGGCCCAGATGGTTTGTGTAGAGGAGCTGTTCACGCGCTGACATCACTGGGTGGGTCAGAGCGTTAGAGTGAGTGACAGTAGAACGTGTGGCGCCTCCTGCAGGACGGACGGATGCGCGTCAACGATCAACTCATCGCCGTCAACGGAGAATCTCTGCTGGGCAAAACCAACCAGGACGCCATGGAAACGCTGCGCACGTCCATGTCTGTGGAGGGAAACCGGCGCGGAACCATCCAGCTCATCGTCGCCCGCCGCCTCAGCAGCAGCACCCGGGTGAGGGGCCCGACGCAGGGGCCCGCACACACAGGGGCCCGCACACACAGGGGCCCGCACACAGACAGGGGCCCGCACACAGACAGGGGCCCCGCACACAGACAGGGGCCCGCACACAGACAGGGGCCCGCACACACACAGGGCCCCACACACAGGGGCCCCACACACACAGGGGCCCGCACACACAGGGGGCCCGCACACAGACAGGGGCCCCGCACACAGACAGGGGCCCGCACACAGGACAGGGGCCCCACACACACAGACAGGGGCCCGCACACAGAGAGACAGGGGCCTCGCACACAGACAGGGGCCCGCACACACAGACAGGGGCCCGCACACAGGACAGGGGCCCGCACACAGACAGGGGCCCCCACACAGACAGACAGGGGCCCGCACAGACAGGGGCCCGCACACAGACACACAGGGGCCCGCACACAGACAGGGGCCCGCACACAGACAGGGGCCCGCACACAGACAGGGGCCCGCACACAGACAGAGAGACAGGGTTTCTCCACTGACCCAAATCATCCTCTTCTTCTCTTTTCTCTCTCTGTCTCTCTTCTTTCTCCTTTTCTTCTCTTCTTTCTCTTTTCTTCTCGTCTTTCCCCTCCTCCTCCTCTTCTCTCTCCTTCTTCTTCTCTCTTTTCTTCTCTCACTCAGAGACGTTAAATTCCAGTTTTGTTTTGTTTTTATTCATTTATTAACAAAATCCTGAATTCCGTCGGTTCCGTTGGTTCCATTATTTGGTTCCGTTGGTTCCGTTAGTTGGTTTCGTTAGTTGGTTTCGTTGGTTCCGTTAGTTGGTTCCGTTGGTTCTGTTAGTTGGTTCTGTTGGTTCCGTTGGTTGGTTCCGTTAGTCGGTTCCATTAGTCGGTTCTGTCGGTTCCGTTGGTTCAGTTGGTTCCGTCGTTTCCGTCGATTCCGTCGGTTCCGTTAGTTGGTTCAGTTGGTTCCGTCCGTTCCGTTGGTTCCGTTAGTTGGTTCCGTCGGTTCCGTTGATTCCGTTAGTCGGTTCCATCGGTTCCGTTGGTTCCGTTAGTCGGTTCTGTTGGTCCCATTAGTCGTTCCGTTGATTCCGTTAGTCGGTTCCGTCGGTTCCGTTGGTTCCGTTAGTTCCGTCAGTTCCGTTAGTTGGTTCCGTCGGTTCCGTTAGTCGGTTCCGTTAGTTCCGTTAGTTCCGTTAGTCGTTCCGTCGGTTCCGTTACTTGGTTCCATCGGTTCCGTTAGTTGGTTCCGTCGGTTCCGTCGGTTCTGTTGGTTCCGTTAGTCGGTTCCGTCGGTTCCGTTGGTTCCGTTAGTCCGTTAGTCGTTCGTTCCGTTGTTCCGTTTCCGTTAGTCGGTTCCATCGGTTCCGTTAGTTGGTTCCGTCGGTTCTGTTGGTTCGTTAGTCGGTTCCGTCGTTCCGTTAGTCGTTCCGTCGGTTCCGTGGGTTTGATGCAGATGCAGGTTTACTGTGAGACTCACCCATGGAGCCGTTGGTTCTGTTCGTGACTTTGTGCCTTTGGGCCAAACACTGAAACGACTCGAGCTCAAAACCACTGACATTTGGGTTTTGCACATTTGGTGATTTTTATTTTTATTTTTTTATTAAAAGTGAAACGTGTTGAGAGACGTGAAAGGAGGAACAGAGGGATTCAACTACGACTTTAGAATAAAAAGAATAGAACAGAAGTAGAATTTTTAAATAAACGTTTTATAAATTTACACAATTCTGACAAAACAAAACATTTCTTCCTCTCTCTCCCTCTGTTCTGTTCCTTCTTCCTTTTCTTGCCTCTCTCCTTCTCTCTCTCTCTCTCCTCACCTTTCCCTGCTTCTTCTCTCCTTCACTTTCATCTCTCCTTCCTTCCCCTCTTCTCTTCTCTTCTCTTCTCTTCTCTTCTCTTCTCTTTTTTTTTTTTTCTCTCTCGTTGTGATTTCCTGCGGCTCAGGTGTAATTGAAATCAGCATCAGGCCTAAAACCAAACCCCAGGACACAGAGGGATTAGACCTGGTTTAGACCTGGTTTAGTCCTGGTTTAGTCCTGGTTTAGACCTGGTTTAGTCCTGGTTTAGTCCTGGTTTAGACCTGGTTTAGACCTGGTTTAGTCCTGGTTTAGACCTGGTTTAGACCTGGTTTAGACCTGGTTTAGTCCTGGTTTAGACCTGGTTTAGTCCTGGTTTAGACCTGGTTTAGACCTGGTTTAGACCTGGTTTAGTCCTGGTTTAGACCTGGTTTAGTCCTGGTTTAGTCCTGGTTTAGTCCTGGTTTAGACCTGGTTTAGACCTGGTTTAGACCTGGTTTAGACCTGGTTTAGACCTGGTTTAGACTGGTTTAGACTGGTTTAGTCCTGGTTTAGACCTGGTTTAGTCCTGGTTTAGACCTGGTTTAGTCCTGGTTTAGTCCTGGTTTAGACCTGGTTTAGACCTGGTTTAGTTCTGGTTTAGACCTGGTTTAGTCCTGGTTTAGACCTGGTTTAGACCTGGTTTAGACCTGGTTTAGACCTGGTTTAGTTCCTGGTTTAGACCTGGTTTAGACCTGGTTTAGACCTGGTTTAGACCTGGTTTAGACCTGGTTTAGTCCTGGTTTAGACCTGGTTTAGACCTGGTTTAGACCTGGTTTAGACCTGGTTTAGACCTGGTTTTAGACCTGGTTTAGTCCTGGTTTAGACCTGGTTTAGACCTGGTTTAGTCCTGGTTTAGACCTGGTTTAGACCTGGTTTAGACCTGGTTTAGACCTGGTTTAGACCTGGTTTAGACCTGGTCCTGGTTTAGACCTGGTTCAGACCTGGTTTAGACCTGGTTTAGACCTGGTTTAGACCTGGTTTAGGTGTTTCATTTGGAGGTAAACAGACGTGTGCGTTCGGTTCCTGTTGTGTTGTTGTGTCGTCTTGTTGTGGTGTTAGCACGTCGCTAAGTGCTAACAGCGCTAACAATGTGACACAACAACATCGAAAATCCATTTATGTCGCGCAACCTAAGAAAACATCTGAGTCAATACAACTGTGTGTGTGTGTGTGTGTGTGTGTGTGTGTGTGTGTGTGTGTGTGTGTGTGTGTGTGTGCGCGATAAACGTGATTCTAAACATGATTTTAAACGTGATTCTAAAAGTGATTTTAAACACAATTCTAAACCTGATTTAAACATGATTCTAAACGTGATTCTAAATGTGATTTTAAACGTGATTTTAAACATGATTTTAAACGTGATTTTAAACGTGATTCTAAACGTGATTCTAAAAGATTTTAAACGTGATTTTAAACGTGATTTTAAACGTGATTTTAAACGTGATTCTAAACGTGATTTTAAACGTGATTTTAAACATGATTCTAAACATGATTTTAAACGTGATTCTAAATGTGATGTTAAACGTGATTCTAAACGTGATTTTAAACGTGATTTTAAACGTGATTCTAAACGTGATTCTAAACGCATTTTTAAACATGATTTTAAACATGCTTCTAAATGTGATTTTAAACGTGATTTTAAATATGATTTTAAATGTGATTCTAAACACATTTTTAAACATGATTTTAAACATGCTTCTAAACGTGATTTTAAACATGATTTTAAATGTGATGTTAAACGTGATTCTAAAAGAAATTTTAAACGTGATTCTAAACGTGATTCTAAACGTGATTTTAAACGTGACTTTAAACATGATTCTAAATGTGATTTTAAACATGATTTTAAACGTGACTCTAAATGCATTTTTAAACATGATTCTAAACGTGATTCTAAACGTGATTCTAAATGTGATTTTAAACGTGATTTTAAACGTGATTTTAAACGTGATTTTAAACGTGATTCTAAACGTGATTCTAAACGTGATTCTAAACGTGATTTTAAACGTGATTTAAACGTGATTTTAAACTGAAATGATTTTAATGTTTAAACGTGATTCTAAACATGATTTAAACGTGATTTTAAACGTGATTTTAAACGTGATTCTAAACGTGATTTTAAACATGATTTAAACGTGATTTTAAACGTGATTCTAAACGTGATTTTAAACGTGATTTTAAATGATTTTAAATGACGTGTGACGTGTTTAAACGTCCTGTGTGTGTGTGTTGCTCCAGGACGCCCCCTGCAGTCCTCTGGGAGCGCGACAGTCTCTGGACTCGTCTCTGGACGAACACGAGCGGAGGATTTCTCACTCTCTGTACGGAGGACTGGAGGGTCTGGACGAGAACCTGATGCCCCGCCACGGAATGATGCCCCGGACCATAGGTAAGCACCACTCACAGCACCGAGATACCGTGACGACACGACCACACGACGAAACCACAACACAACACGACCACATGACAACACGACAACACAACACGACACGACAACATCACAACACGACAACATCACAACACGACAACACGAAACACACGACAACATCACAACACGACAACACCACAACACGACAACATCACAACATGACAACACCACAACATCACAACACGACCACACATGACAACATCACAACACGACAACACGACAACACGACAACACGACAACATGACAACATGACAACACGACCACACGACGAAACCACAACACAACACGACAACACGACAACACGACAACACGACAACACGACAACAACACGACAACATCACAACACGACAACACGACAACACAACATGACAACACGACAACACGACAACAGGACAGTCTGGAATCTCGACATCGTGTCACAATCAGAGTGTAAATATATTTTCCAAATGTTCCATCCCCCGGTGGCCCGGGCCTTTCTGTGAGGAGTTTGCATGTTCTCCCTGTGCCAACCCAAAACATGCAGCAGGTCAAATCCTCCAACTCAGGTCCAGACCAAAACCAGCAACAAGATCCTGGAGCTGGGCCCCGTGTGCCGCCCACTGCTCCTGAAAGAACCACTGACAGACACAGGACAGTTTCCTACAGCCAGAAAAAAGAACACAAAACTAAAACACAAATATACGACACTGATAAATACACAAAAGACAAGTCGTCTGTGGCGTCTGAACTCAAATCCTCAACCCAAAAGTCGACCAACTAAAGGCGTCCAGCGAGTTTTTTGATGTCGCGACCTGAACCCAGCTTCAGAGACACAGACACAGACCAGAGAACCATCAGTGGGTTTGTTTTTGTGGGTGACTGTTTTGAATCCAGAGAAATTGAATTTGGTGCTGATTTTGATTATTTTCTTCAATTTGTTCCATTTAAATTGACCGCAGACTCACCACAGCCTGTTTTGACCACAGACCAGATCAGATCTGTGGTTCTGTGCAGTTTTCTCTTAGTTTTCCATCGTGTCATGTGAAGTTTTGTGAGTTTTTAGGCCGATCGACCAAAACTAAACCTGGTCCTGTGCTGAGCTTTAAATATCGGTGACAGATATCGGTCAGTTTCTCGATTTTTTAATGTGTTTTTGTGTTTTTATGTGGTGTTTGTCTCTGGGCGTCGTGTGTTTTTGTTCAGATTTAGTTTTGAGAGAGAGAGTTTTACCTCAGATGCCCTCCCTCCTCTGGCTCTGCTCTCTGTTTGTGTTGTTCTTGTGTGAGCGCCCCCTGCTGGTCGCTCTGAGACACACTGGACTGACCAGAGACTCTGGACAAACACGACACACGGAGACACAGTCCAGATGAAACAGTTCAGACTTTAAAAATTCTCCTTGGAGGTTTTTGTGGAAATAATAATTCTGAATTTATGTCTTTGTGAAGAAAACACAAACTTTAACTGCTCCCAATTTTTCTGTCAAGAAACCAGGACTAAACCAGGTCTAAACTAAACTAGGTCTAAACTAGGTCTAAACCAGGTAAACTAAACCAGGTCTAAACCAGGTCTAAACCAGGTAAACCAGGACTAAACCAGGACTAAACTAAACCAAACCAAACCAGTCTAAACCAGGACTAAACCAGGACTAAACCAGGACTAAACCAGGTAAACCAGGTCTAAACCAGGACTAAACCAGGTAAACCAGGACTAAACCAGGACTAACCAGGTCTAAACCAGGACTAAACCAGGACTAAACCAGGACTAAACCAGAACTAAACCAGAACTAAACCAGAACTAAACCAGAACTAAACCCGAACTAAACCAGGTCTACACCAGGTCTAAACCAGGACTAAACCAGAACTAAACCAGTAAACCAGGTCTAAACCAGCTAAACCAGGTCTAAACCAGAACTAAACCAGGACTAAACCAGGACTAAACCAGGACTAAACCAGGACTAAACCAGGACTCTAAACCAGGTCTAAACCAGGACTAAACCAGGGGACTAAACCAGGTCTAAACCAGGTCTAAACCAGGTCTAAACCAGGTCTAAACCAGGACTAAACCAGGCTAAACCAGGTCTAAACCAGGACTACCAGGTCTAAACCAGGTCTAAACCAGGACTAAACCAGTCAGGACTAAACCAGGACTAAAACCAGGACTAAACCAGGTCTAAACCAGGACTAAACCAGGACTAAACCAGGACTAAACCAGGTCTAAACCAGGTCTAAACCAGGTCTAAACCAGCTAAACCAGGGACTAAACCAGGTCTAAACCAGGACTAAACCAGGACTAAACCACTAAACCAGACTAAACCAGGACTAAACCAGGACTAAACCAGGACTAAACAGAAAACCAGCTAAACCAGACTAAACCAGGTCTAAACCAGGACTAAACCAGGTCTAAACCAGGACTAAACCAGGTCTAAACTAGGTCTAAACTAGGTCTAAACCAGGTCTAAACCAGGTCTAAACCAGGACTAAACCAGGACTAAACCAGGACTAAAACTAGGTCTAAACTAGGTCTAAACCAGGTCTAAACCAGGTCTAAACCAGGACTAAACCAGGACTAAACCAGGTCTAAAACCAGGACTAAACAAAAACTAAAGAACTAAACCAGAACTAAACCAGAACTAAACCCGAACTAAACCAGGTCTACACCAGGTCTAAACCAGGACTAAAACCAGAAAAACAGAACTAAACCAGGTCTAAACCAGGTCTAAACCAGAACTAAACTAAACCAGGGACTAAACCAGGACTAAACCAGGACTAAAACCAGGTCTAAACCAGTCTAAACCAGGACTAAACCAGGACTAAACCAGGTCTAAACCAGGTCTAAACCAGGTCGGCTAAACCAGGACTAAACCAGGTCTAAACCAGGTCTAAACCTAAACCGGACTAAACCAGGACTAAACCAGGTCTAAACCAGGACTAAACCAGGACTAAACCAGGTCTAAACCAGGACTAAACCAGGACTAAACCAGGACTAAACCAGGTCTAAACCAGGTCTAAACCAGGACTAAACCAGGACTAAACAGCTAAACCAGGCTAAACCAGACTAAACCAGGACTAAACCAGGTCTAAACCAGGTCTAAACCAGACTCTGCTCTATAAGGTCTAAATCAGGACTAAAAACAAAAAAAAAGAAAACTGTACTAAAAACCAGAATCAAAATGGGACTGAAAACAGGAGAAAAAACTGGGCTAAAAACAGTCAGAACAGGACTAAAACCAGGTCTAAACCAGGTCTAATCTTGGACTTGGACTTGGACTCTAGTTCTGTCCCTGAGTGAACCCTGAGCCCGTGGAGCCGGTCTTACAGTTTTTAGACGGACCTCGCTTCTTTTTCCACACAAACTGGACGGGAGTGTGAGTCGGTGCCGGTGCAGCGTCTGTGGCTCGGCCTCTGCTCCTCGGCGTCTGCGTCTGCTCCTCGGCGTCTGCGTCTGCTCTCGGCGTCGGCGTCTGCGTCTGCTCCTCGGCGTCTGCGTCTGCTCCTCGGCGTCTGCGTCTGCGTCTGCTTCTCTGCGTCTGCTCCTCGGCGTCTGCGTCTGCTCCTCGGCGTCTGCGTCTGCGTCTGCGTCTGCTCCTCTGCGTCTGCGTCTGCTCCTCTGCGTCTGCGTCTGCTCCTCGGCGTCTGCGTCTGCTCCTCGGCGTCTGCGTCTGCGTCTGCGTCTGCTCCTCTGCGTCTGCGTCTGCGTCTGCTCCTCGGCGTCTGCGTCTGCGTCTGCGTCTGCTCCTCGGGGTCTGGATCCTCTGGTCCTCAGCTCCTTCTGTTCTCTGCAGTTCGTTTAAATCGTTATAATTCGTTATAATTCCTCCGGCGTCCCTCGTGTCGTTGGGTTTCTCTTCCGTTCCGTCGTTCGTTCGTCTCCATGGCGATGATAACAGGTTTAATTATCCCCGAGGCCGGAGCCACAGACGCTCGGAGAATTTCAAACCAACAATTACGTGACTTCAGTGATTATCTGTGATTAAAGACCTGGACCCGACTAGTCCTGGTCTTAAATCATCAAAAAAAAAAAACAGTTTAGACCTGGTTTAGTCCTGGTTTAGTCCTGGTTCAGTCTGGGGTGTGTGGGCGGGGATAGGTGGTGGGTGAATCTGACATTTTGGAGGATTCTGGTTTAAATTCCTCCTGGTGGACTTTTCTCTTTGGTCTCGGCTCCATTGTTCTGCCCACGGGCTTCACCTGCCAGCGCTTCACCTGCCAGCGCTTCACCTGCCAGCGCTTCACCTGCCAGCGCTTCACCTGCCAAACCTCTCCTGGCGCTCAAACAATAAGAGCAGCTCTCCTGTCGCCTGTCACTCACGGGCAGGAGCTGACAGGAGCTGACAGGAGCCGACAGGAGCAGACAGGAGCCGACAGGAGCCGACAGGAGCCGACAGGAGCCGACAGGAGCTGACAGGAGCAGACAGGAGCCGACAGGAGCAGACAGGAGCAGACAGGAGCTGACAGGAGCAGACAGGAGCAGACAGGAGCAGACAGGAGCCGACAGGAGCAGACAGGAGCCGACAGGAGCTGACAGGAGCCGACAGGAGCTGACAGGAGCTGACAGGAGCAGACAGGAGCAGACAGGAGCTGACAGGAGCAGACAGGAGCTCCGAGGGCGGCAGGAGCAGAACGTTTGGGAAAACAGGATGAAACGACACGACAGAATTTAAAGAAAGAGAAGAGAAGAGAAAAGAGGAGAGATGAAAGGATGAGAGAGGAGAGGAAGAGGAGAGAGAGAGAAGAGAAGGAGAGAAAGGAGAGAAGGAGAATAGAGGAAGAGGAGAGAGGAGAAGAAAGGAGAGAGGAAAGGAGAGAAGAGGAAGAAAGTAGGAGAGAAGAAAGGAGAGGAGAGGAAGAGAAGGAGAGGAGGAGAGAGGAGGGGAGGAGGAAAGAAGAAAGGAGAGAGGAAAGGAGAGAAGAGGAAGATAGATAGGAGAGAAGAAAGGAAGGAGAGGAGAGAGGAGAGAGAGAGAGGAGGAAGGAGAGAAAGAAGAAAGGAGAGAGGAAAGGAGAGAAGAGGAAGACAGTAGGAGAGAAGAAAGGAGAGGAGAGGAAGAGAAGAAGAGAGAAGTGAATGATTAGTGGAGGAGGAAAGAAGAAAGGAGGAGAGAAAGAGGAGAGAAGGAGAAGAGAGAAGGAGGAGAGAGGGAATGAGAGAAGGGGAGAGAGAAAAGGAGGAGAGGAAGAGAGAGATGATGAGAAGGAGAGGAAGAGAGGAGGAGAGGAAGAGAGGGAGTGTGTGATGAGAAAGAAAAACCACACTGTAGATTTAACATTTTGGACGAGGATTTTAAACACTTAAATCGATCAGAAAATCATTTTACTGACTTCTTATAGTCCTGGTTTAGTCCTGGTTTAGTCCTGGTTTAGACCTGGTTTAGTCCTGGTTTAGTCCTGGTTTAGTCCTGGTTTAGACCTGGTTTTAGTCCTGGTTTAGTCCTGGTTTAGTCCTGGTTTAGTCCTGGTTTAGTCCTGGTTTAGCTGGTTTAGTCCTGGTTTAGTCCTGGTTTAGACCTGGTTAGACCTGGTTTAGTCCTGGTTTAGTCTGGTTTAGTTCTGGTTTAGTCCTGGTTTAGTCCTGGTTTAGACCTGGTTTAGCCTGGTTTAGCCTGGTTTAGTCCTGGTTTACCTGGTTTAGTCCTGGTTTAGTCCTGGTTTAGACCTGGTTTTAGTCCTGGTTTAGTCCTGGTTTAGACCTGGTTTAGTCCTGGTTTAGTCTACCTGGTTTAGTCCTGGTTTAGTTCCTGGTTTAGACCTGGTTTAGTCCTGGTTTAGTCCCTGGTTTAGACCTGGTTTAGACCTGGTTTAGTCCTGGTTTAACCTGGTTTAGACCTGGTTTAGTCCTGGTTTAGTCCTGGTTTAGTCCTGGTTTTAGTCCTGGTTTAGTCCTGGTTTAGTCCTGGTTTAGTCCTGGTTTAGTCCTGGTTTAGTCCTGGTTTAGTCCTGGTTTAGTCCTGGTTTAGACCTGGTTTTAGACCTGGTTTAGACCTGGTTTAGTCCTGGTTTAGTCCTGGTTTAGTCCTGGTTTAGACCTGGTTTAGACCTGGTTTAGTCCTGGTTTAGTCCTGGTTTAGTCCTGGTTTAGACCTGGTTTAGTTGGTTTAGTCCTGGTTTAGTCCTGGTTTAGTCCTGGTTTAGTCCTGGTTTAGTCCTGGTTTAGTCCTGGTTTAGACCTGGTTTAGTCCTGGTTAGTCCTGGTTTAGTCCTTGTTTAGTCCTGGTTTAGACCTGGTTTAGACCTGGTTTAGTCCTGGTTTAGTCCTGGTTTAGTCCTGGTTTAGTCCTGGTTTAGTCCTGGTTTAGACCTGGTTTAGTCCTGGTTTAGTCCTGGTTTAGTCCTGGTTTAGACCTGGTTTAGACCTGGTTTAGTCCTGGTTTAGTCCTGGTTTAGTCCTGGTTTAGTCCTGGTTTAGTCCTGGTTTAGTCCTGGTTTAGTTCTGGTTCGTTGTGTTTTGTGTGTTTTCATGTTTCACACTTGAGTTTCTGTTTGTGTTTTTGTGGCGTGAACTCGTCCATATGTTTGAAGAAAAACACCAAGAGACGAAGGAAGAAGAACAGATTGTGTCCGAGTCTAGTCCACTTTTAGACCTGGTCTAGTCCACTTTTAGACCTGGTCTAGTCCACTTTTAGACCAACAAAAAAAACAACCAAAACCAACGAACACCAACTGATACAAACCAGATTAAGAACTTCTGGATCCAGTGGAACAACTGATGTGTGAAAGAACCTGAAGACCTGGTTCAGTCCTGGTTTAGTTCTGGTTCAGTCCTGGTTCAAGTCCTGGTTCAGTCCTGGTTTAGTTCTGGTTTAGTTCTGGTTTAGTTCTGGTTTAGTTCTGGTTTAGTTCTGGTTCAGTTCTGGTTCAGTCCTGGTTTAGTTCTGGTTCAGTCAATCTAGTTGTGGCCGTCACCATATTTTCTTTAGTCTACCTGCCTAAAATTAAATTTGCGTAACATAACATAACACAAAACTCGGACTGACAATCTGTACGACGCTCACCTGTACGACGCCCACCTGTACGACGCCCACCTGTACGACTTCCACCTGTACGACGCCCACCTGTACGACGCTCACCTGTACGACTTCAACCTGTACGACTTCCACCTGTACGACGTTCACCTGTACGACGCCCACCTGTACGACTTCAACCTGTACGACTCTCCCTGTACGACGCCCACCTGTACGACTTCAACTTGTACGACGCCCACCTGTCCGACGCCCATCTGTCCGACGCTCACCTGTACGACGCTCACCTGTACGACTTCCACCTGTACGACGCCCACCTGTACGACGCCCCACCTGTAACGACGCCACCTGTACGACGCCACTGTACGACGCCCACCTGTAACGACTTCAACACCTGTCGACGCCCACCTGTATGACACTCACCTGTCGACGCCCACCTGTCCGCACGCCCACCTGTCCGACGCCCACCGTCCGACGCCCACGCTGTACGACTTCCACCTGTACGATGCCCACCTGTACGACTTCCACCTGTACGATGCCCACCTGTCTGACGCTCACCTGTCTGACGCTCACCTGTACGACTTCCACCTGTACGATGCCCACCTGTCCGACGCTCACCTGTCCGACGCTCACCTGTACGACTTCAACTTGTACAACGCCCACCTGTACGACGCTCACCTGTACGACGCCCACCTGTACGACGCCACCTGTACGACGCCCACCTGTACGACGGCCACCTGTACGACTTCCACCTGTACGACTTCACCTGTACCACCTGTACGACGCTCACCTGTCCGACGCTCACCTGTACGACGCTCACCTGTCGACGCTCACCTGTACGACTTCCACCTGTACGACGCTCACTCAGCTGTACGACGCTCACCTGTTCGACGCTCACCTGTACGACTTCCACCTGTACGACGCTCACCTGTTCGACGCTCACCTGTCCGACGCTCACCTGTACGACGCCCACCTGTACGACGCTCAAACTCACCTAGGGACTGGTTTATGCCTTCTTCAGTCCTGGTTCAGTCCTGGTTCGTCCTGGTTCAGTCCTGGTTTAGTCCTGAAGTCCTGGTTTAGTCCTGGTTCAGTCCTGGTTAGTCCTGGTTCAGTCCTGGTTCAGTCCTGGTTAGTCCTGGTTCAGCCCTGGTTTAGACCTGGTTTAGTCCTGGTTCAGCCCTGGTTTAGTCCCTGGTTTAGTCCTGGTTTAGTCCTGGTTGAGTCCTGGTTCAGTCCTGGTTTAGTCCTGGTTTAGTCCTGGTTCAGTCCTGGTTTAGTCCTGGTTCAGCCCTGGTTTAGTCCTGGTTTAGTCCTGGTTTAGTCCTGGTTTAGTCCTGGTTCAGCCCTGGTTTAGCTGGTTTAGTCCTGGTTCAGGGTGTAGACCTGGTTTAGTCCTGCTTCAGTCCTGGTTTAGAGTCCTGCGTTTAGTCCTGGGTTTAGTCAGTCCTGGTTCAGTCTGGTTTCAGTCCTGTTTAGTCCTGTTAGTCTGGTTCTCCTGTTCCAGTCCTGGTTTAGTTCCTGGTACAGTCCTGGTTCAGTCCTGGTTTTCCTAGTTCCTGGTTTAGTCCTTTTAGTCCGGTTCAGCCCTGGTTTAGTCCTGGTTCAGTCCGGTTTAGTCCTGGTTTAGTCCTGTTTAGTCCTGTTCAGTCCTGTGGTTCAGTCCTGGCTTCAGTCCTGGTTCAGTCCTAGTCCTGGTTTAGTCCTGGTTCAGTCTGGTCAGTCCTGGTTCAGTCCTGGTTTAGTCCTGTTCAGTCCTGGTTTAGTCCTGGTTCAGTCCTGGTTCAGTCCTGGTTTAGTCCTCTGTTCAGTCCTGGTTTAGTCCTGGTTCAGTTCTTCAGTCCTGTCCTGGTTTAGTCCTGCTTCAGTCCTGGTTTATCCTGGTTCAGTCCTGGTTCAGTCCTGGTTTAGTCCTGGTTTAGTCCTGGTTCAGTCCTGGTTCAGTCCTGGTTCAGTTTAGTCCTGGTTTAGTCCTGTTTAGTCCTGGTTCAGTCTGGTTTAGTCCTGGTTTAGTCCTGGTTTAGTCCTGGTTCAGTCCAGTCTGGTTTTAGTCCTGGTTTAATCCTGGTTTAGTCTTTAGTCCTGGTTCAGTCCTGGTTCAGTCCTGGTTTAGTCCTGGTTAGTCCTGGTTCAGTCCTGGTTCTGGTTTAGTCCTGGTTTAGTCCTGGTTCAGTCCTGGTTCAGTCCAGTCCTGGTTTAGTCCTGGTTCAGTCCTGGTTTAGTCCTGGTTCAGTCTGGTTCAGTCCTTGGTTCAGTAGTCTGGTTCAGTCCTGGTCCTGTTCAGCCCTGGTTTAGTCCTGGTTTATTGGTTCAGTCCTGGTTTAGTCCTGGTTCAGTCCTGGTTCTTGTGTTTTTTCCAGCGCACTATCAGTTGTCTCCGACGGTGAACATGCCTCAGGACGACACGGTGATGATCGAGGAGGACCGCCCCCCTCACCTGCCGCTCCTGCCCCCTCACCTGCCGCACCTGCCGCTCCTGCCGACCCTGCCCCCGGGCCTGTCGGACCAGTCCTCCTCCTCCTCCCACGACGAGCCCGGCTACGGCCCCGCGGACGAGCTGCCCAACCCCATCTACGCCGCCGAGACCGTCCCGCCGTGGGCCCAGGGGCCGCCCGCCCAAACACACAGGTGCCACACGCACGCTAACACTTTCTCAGTGTTAATATGAGTCACTCTGTTCTAGAGTTAATTTAACATTTGTGTAAATGTTCATGAAGTAAAACTGGACCAAAGTTCCTGTTTAACCCAAATCCAGAGTTAAATTCACGTTTAGAGAGTAAACAGAGAACACTGTGTAGAGTTATTCTGATTTAACTCAACAACACACAGAGGAGTTTTATTTTTACACTTTATTTGAGTTAATTTAAGATGAAATTCAGAACAAAACTGGTCTCTCTTAAATTAACACAAAGAGAAGTTGAATTAACACAAAGAGAAGTTGAATTAACACGAAGAGAAGTTGAATTAACACTAGAGGAGTTAGAGGAAGTTAAATTAACACTAAGGAAGTTGAATAACACTAGAGGAAGTTGAATTAACACTAAGAGGAAGTTGAATTAACACTAGAGGAAGTTGAATTAACACTAAAGGAAGTTGAATTAACACTAGAGGAAGTTGAATTAACACTAAGAGGAAGTTGAATTAACACTAGAGGAAGTTGAATTAACACTAAAGGAGTTGAATTAACTAGAGGAAGTTGAATTAACACTAAGAGGAAGTTGAATTAACACTAGAGGAAGTTGAATTAACACTAAGAGGAATTAAAGTTGAGGAAGTTGAATTAACACTAGAGGAAGTTGAATTAACACTAAGAGGAAGTTGAATTAACACTAGAGGAAGTTGAATTAACACTAGAGGAAGTTGAATTAACACTAAGAGGAAGTTGAATTAACACTACAGAAGAAGTTGAATTAACACTAAGAGGAAGTTGAATTAACACTAGAGGAGGAGGAAGTTGAATAACACGAAGAGGAAGTTGAAATTAACACTAGAGAAGTTGAATTAAAACTAAGTTGAATTAACACTAGGAAGTTGAATTAACACTAGAGAAAGTTGAATTAACACTAGAGAAAGTTGAATTAACACTAAGAAAGTTGATTTAACACTAGAGGAAGTTGAATAACACTAGAGGAAGTTGAATTAACACTAGAGGAAGTTGAATTAACACTAAAGGAAGTTGAATTAACATGAAGAGGAAGTTGAATGAATTAACACGAAGGAAGTTTGAATTAACACTAGAGGAAGTTGAATTAACACTAGAGGAAGTTGAATTAACACTAAGGAGGAAGTTGAATTAACACTAAGAAGTTGAATTAACACTAAAGAAGTTGAATTAACACTAGAGGAAGTTGAATTATCACTAGAGGAAGTTGAATTAACACGAAGAGGAAGTTGAATTGACACTAGAGGAAGTTGAATTGACACTGGAGGAAGTTGAATTAACACTAAGAGAAGTTGAATTAACACTAGAGGAAGTTGAATTAACACTAAGAGGAAGTTGAATTAACACTAGAGGAAGTTGAATTAACACTAAAGGAAGTTGAATTAACACTAGAGGAAGTTGAATTAACACTAGAGGAAGTTGAATTAACACTAGAGGAAAGTTGAATGACACTGGAGGAAGTTGAATTAACACTAGAGAAGTTGAATTAACACTAGAGGAAGTTGAATTAACACTAGAGGAAGTTGAATTAACACGAAGAGAAGTTGAATTAACACTAGAGGAAGTTGAATTAACACTAGAGGAAGTTGAATTAACACGAAGAGGAAGTTGAATTAACACGAAGAGAAGTTGAATTAACACTAGAGGAAGTTGAATTAACACTAGAGAAGTTGAATTAACACTAAGAGGAAGTTGAATTAACACTAAGAGGAAGTTGAATTAACACTAAGGAAGTTGAATTAACACTAGAGGAAGTTGAATTAACACTAGAGGAAGTTGAATTAACACTAGAGGAAGTTGAATTAACACTAGAGGAAGTTGAATTAACACTAGAGGAAGTTGAATTAACACTAGAGGAAGTTGAATTAACACTAAGAGGAAGTTGAATTAACACTAAGAGGAAGTTGAATTAACACTAGAGGAAGTTGAATTAACACTAGAGGAAGTTGAATTAACACTGAGGAAGTTGAATTAACACTAAGAGGAAGTTGAATTAACACTAGAGGAAGTTGAATTAACACTAGAGGAAGTTGAATTAACACTAGAGGAAGTTGAAATTAACACTAAGAGGAGTTGAATATAACACTAGAGAAGTTGAATTAACTAAGAAGTTGAATTAACACTAGAGGAAGTTGAATTAACACTAGAGGAAGTTGAATTAACACTAGAGGAAGTTGAATTAACACTAGAGGAAGTTGAATTAACACTAGAGGAAGTTGACTCGGGATTTGTGTAAAATCCCGCCTCCACCTTGTGAAAGTCCGATCAATTTGTGGTCAGTTTGGGTTCGTACGTCGCGGTGTGTAAATGTGACAAAATTGCATCTTAAAAAATAAGAGATGAAAGTGTCAGAGAAGAAACGACGAGAACCTGGAGAAACATCTGAGGAGAACAGTTTGGAACAACTCTGATTCAAAACTTTTTCCTCTGGTTTGGTCTGGTTCTGATGTGTATTCTTTCTTTTTTCTCCTCGTGGTCTTCTCCTCGTGGTCTTCTCCTCGTGGTCTTCTCCTCGTGCTCTTCTCCTCGTGGTTTCTCCTCGTGGTCTCTCGTGGTCTCTCTCCTCGTGGTCTCCTCCTCGTGTTCTCTTCTCCTCGTGGTCTTCTCCTCGTGGTCTTCTCCTCGTGGTCTTCTCCTCGTGGTCTCCTCCTCGTGGTCTCCTCCTCGTGTTCTTCTCCTCGTGGTCTTCTCCTCGTGGTCTTCTCCTCGTGGTCTCCTCCTCGTGGTCTTCTCCTCGTGGTCTTCTCCTCGTGGTCTCTCCTCGTGGTCCTCGTGGTCTTCTCCTCGTGGTCTTCTCCTCGTGGTCTCCTCCTCGTGGTCTTCTCCTCGTGGTTCTTCTCCTCGTGGTCTTCTCCTCGTGGTCTTCTCCTCGTGGTCTCTCCTCGTGGTCTCCCTCCTCCTCCTCGATCTTCTCCTCGTGGTCTTCTCCTCGTGGTCTCCCTCCTCGTGGTCTTCTCCTCCTCGTGGTCTCCTCCTGTGGTCTCCTCCTCGTGGTCTCCTCCTCGTGGTCTCCTCCTCGTGGTCTCCTCCTCGTGGTCTCCTCCTCGTGGTCTCCTCTCGTGGTCTCCTCCTCGTGGTCTCCTCCTCGTGGTCTTCTCCTCTGTTCTCTCCTCGTGGTCTCCTCCTCGTGGTCTCCTCCTCGTGGTCTTCGTGGTCTTCTCCTCGTGGTCTCCTCCTCGTGGTCTTCTCCTCGTGGTCTTCTCCACGTCTCCTCGTGGTCTTCTCCTCGTGGTCCTCTGGTCTCTGTTCTTCTCCTGTGTCTTCTCCTCGTGGTCTCCTCCTCGTGGTCTTCTCCTCGTGGTCTCCTCCTCGTGGTCTCCTCCTCGTGGTCTCCTCCTCGTGGTCTCCTCCTCGTGGTCTTCTCCTCGTGGTCTGTCTCCTCCTGATCTTCTCCTCCTGGTCTCCTCCTCGTGGTCTTCTCTCGTCGTGTCTCTCCTCGTGGTCTCCTCCTCGTGGTCTCCTCCTCGTGGTCTCCTCCCGTGGTCTCCTCTCGTGGTCTCCTCCTCGTGGTCTCCTCTCGTGGTCTCCTCCTCGTGGTCTCCTCTCGTGGTCTCCTCCTCGTGGTCTCCTCCTCGTGGTCTCCTCCTTGTGGTCTCCTCCTCGTGGTCTCCTCCTCGTGGTCTCCTCCTCGTGTCTCCTCCTCGTGGTCTCCTCCTCGTCTCCTCCTCGTGGTCCTCCTCCTGTTCTCCTCCTGTTCTTCCTCCTCGTGGTCTCCTCCTCCTCCTGTGTTCTCCTCGTGGTCTCCTCCTCGTGGTCTCCTCCTCGATTTCCTCCTCGTGGTCTTCCTCCTCGTGGGTCTCCTCCTCGTGGTCTCCTCCTCGTGTTCTTCCCTCGTGTCTCCTCCTCGTGGTCTCCTCTCGTGTTCTTCTCCTCGTGGTCTTCTCCTCGTGGTCTTCTCCTCGTGGTCTTCTCCTCGTGGTCTCCTCCTCGTGGTCTCTCCTCGTGTTCTTCTCCTCGTGGTCTCCTCCTCGTGGTCTCCTCCTCGTGGTCTCCTCCTCGTGGTCTTCTCCTCGTGGTCTTCTCCTCGTGGTCTTCTCCTCGTGGTCTTCTCCTCGTGTTGTCTCCTCGTGGTCTTCTCCTCGTGGTCTTCTCCTCGTGTTCTTCGTGTTCTTCTCCTCGTGGTCTTCTCCTCGTGGTCTCCTCCTCGTGGTCTCCTTCTCGTGGTCTCCTCCTCCTGATCTTCTCCTCCTGTTCTTCAGCGCTCTGGGGCCTGAGGATCTTCACGCAGACGGCACGTTCCTCAGAGAAGGTTTTGGACGTCAGAGCGTCTCAGAGAAACGCTCCAAACAGTTCAGTGACGCCTCCACGCTGGAGATCATCAAGACCAGGAAGTCCAAGAGCATGGACCTGGGTACAACACGCTACACCTGTCCACCTGAACACCTGTCCACCTGAACACCTACACCTGAACATCTACACCTGAACACCTGTCCACCTGAACACCTGAACACCTGAACCACCTGAACACCTACACCTGAACATCTACACCTGAACATCTACACCTGAACATCTACACCTGACACGATCTGAACATCTACACCTGAACATCTGAACATCTACACCTGAACATCTACACCTGAACATCTACACCTGAACATCTACACCTGAACACCTGAACATCTACACCTGAACACCTACACCTGAACTACACCTGAACATCTACACCTGAACACCTACACCTGACACCTGAACATCTACACCTGAACATCTGAACATCTAACACCTGAACATCGACACCTGAACATCGACACCTGAACATCTACACCTGAACATCTACACCTGAACATCTGAACATCTGAACATCTACACCTGAACATCTACACCTGAACACTGAACACCTACACCTGAACATCGACACCTGAACATCGAACACCTGAACATGACCTGAACACCTGACAACCTGAACATCTGAACACCTACACCTGAACACCTACACCTGGGTCAGTCCATATGA